CAATTGAGAGCAATTGAATTATCATTTACTCTTCATTTGTGTTCGATACCCTTTCTGAGGGTATAACAATTCTGAGCGATGCAGGCGACGGCTTCAGTCTGAACTAGAAATCTTGAAGGGTATACAAATAGAATTGTCGTACTTAAATAGAATCCTTTTTCTTTGTACTCGTTTTTGTGGTTTGGTTTGGATGCAGCAAAGTTAAGAGCCGAAAGATTATTGTGGCACCACTGCCACGCCCTTGCCCCCTCACATCCTGCGGTTGCAAGTGGACTCGGAATGAGTGGAAAAGTTAATTAAGATTGCTTTTTGGGCCAACTATTTGCAAAGGAAAAACTATTAAGAGAACTAATTTGTAGAAAATAAGATTTTCTTTTAATTGCATTTCTGCTTAGGCAAAAAAAAGCCCAAAAATCGCTACACTTTCTGAATAAAATTCAAGCCAACCCGCCGGGAAAAGCTTCCCATAAACAAAAATCGAAGAGCTATCAGATATCCGTATCCGTTTTTGTGGAGTTTTTGTTTGCATTTTATGGGTTTGCTATTTATCGGTTGATGATTTTGTGAAGTTCATTTGCCAAAACATGGCATCCATAAAGATTGTTTATGGTCATCAAGTGGCTTTACTGTTTTTATTGACTTTTATTTGGCAACGAGTCAGTGGACGAGTCAGCCTCAAACGTACACACGCACATTCCGTACTGGTTGTACAGTGAAGCCTCAATATGTGTGTTCATTTGCTACTGGCAATGTGGTGGCATGTCCATCCCAAGCAGGATTTCACTGTGCATAGTACACACAGTGACTGACCTAAAATATTTTCCCTTTGCCAAGCACAAATCCCGTTTCACTGAAGCAAGAAAATCTGCATAAGGCAATTGACTAAGGAGAAGCAGAAGCAGAAGCAGAAGCACAACAAATAAGTAAACAAAGAGAACCTAAGAACATGGACAAAAATGCCAACTAATGTCACTTAGTGAATGCCAAGAGAAAGGAGAGTGGCATTTGTGAAATTCGAGAACAATTTAGAAACAGTTTTCAAACTGGTCGCGAGCAGCTCCCGCAACCTACCCTAAGCCCCACCACCCCCCATGAATGCAAAATGAGATGGACATTCCCGCTTTGATAAGCCCTCAGACCTCCGGCTGTCGACTGCTCTCATTGATAATGAGTTCTAGATGGTTTGAGGGGAAGAAAGAACGAAGAACGTAAAACGTAGACTATATTTCACACGTTTCGTTTCATTTCATTGAAGGCAGCGGATTGCCGACACACACACACACCACACCCTGCACCGTGGCAGAGTTCGCAATCTGCAATCCCTATGTTGGCCTGTCCGGCACGTGCCGTCAATAAAGCTGCAAATCGCATAAACGGTCTGAGCCGCTTATACGTCATAAGTGCGTCATAAGGGAGAGGCGGAGAGAGATAGCTCTTCCACTATGTGTGGCCTGTGCTGGCTGGCTGCGTGGGCCTAGTCTGTAGATAAAGTTACAAGTACGCGTACATTACCGCCCCCATGTCGCCCTTCCTTGAAGTACTAGTCTGCAAGCATTTATCTATATTATCCACTGGCACTCTGTCTGTATGTCTGTCTGTATCTGCCTCCCCTCTGGCTCACAAGTCTACTGCTGGTGCTTGCCCCATAATCAATTCAACTTGTGGGCATAGATTTTAGAGAGATGATGTGGAGGAGAAGCAATGGCAAGGCAGGAATGTGCACAGATAGAATGGCAGAGGCATAACCGAGCCTTAAATACTTCTCGTACATTTATTTGATGCATTTCAGTTACCAAACCAATTGCAACAATGTACAACAGACATCAGCAACAATGGAAAATAAATAGATTGTTAAATACTTTCTGGGAATGGAAATAAAGAAAAGGATGCATGTTTTGGCATAGAAAATATAACCCGAAATAAGAATAATCTAAAATTGTCTTGTTTTTAATTCCCATTTGCCTCAATTTCAAGCTTAAATTCGACTTGCTCTTGATTGCATTTTGCAATAAAACATTAAATTCCCTAAGGACCGCGAGATGAGTTCTGTGCATTCGGAGTCTGATTTTGTGCAGAAATTAATTAAGTGAAAAGCTGGAAAAACCAATGAACCAATGCCATGCACACACAGCTGAAAGCTAATTCTTTTCCCCATCCACCAAAGCAAAGAGAATTGAAACGAAACGCAACGAAACGAAACGCAACGAAAGCGAACCGCAACATACTCTTTGGGGCAACAATTTATTGGAGGGTCGACTAGTTGGATAGGTGTTGGCGGGAATGAATGGTGCACGGTGCAAAAGCACAGGAAAAAAATGTGAGTTTTGGTCTAAAATGGAATTGCAATTTGGCATTTGCACCGATACGCACGATGCCAAATTGCCAGCCAACGAAAATCCAAATGAAACTCAAAGCAAACTCAACCCAAAACGAAAAACAGAGCAAACACAAAATCAAGAGAGAAACTCTCATCGAAAAGTGTAAATCCTCTAGGGCTTTGGCAGGACATGAACATGTGCAGTGCATTTCCAAATGCCACAAATTCCTGTTTGGTGGTAGAGGTACAAGTGATAGATAGATAAAATCAGACATTCGCTCTTAGTTCATCACAGACATCATAATTAATGTTTTCTTTTTCTGGCTCTGATAGCATTCTTTGATTTCCCTCTTAATTGGTACTTAAAAAAGGAATAAGAATATTTCCCTTACTTTGTAATTAAGGGAAGTAAATTCACAACCATCGATGCTGCGTCCCAAGTGGAAATCTGGAATAAGTAAACGAAAAACCCCATACGTATCGATGTCACTGAGGGGAAAAACTCTTCAAATAATGCAATTTCCTTTTAAATCCTCTCCCCATGCCTGAATGGCATGTGGGAGCCCCTCGACTACCCATAAAGAAGCGAGATGGAAAGTTAATAAAAGCCAGAGAGCCCCAGCCACGGCCAGAACGTGAGAATATCAAGACGTTGTTGGTACCCGGGGGTAGCCAGGTTTCACTTATTTTATTGCTCAGCTTTGTTGGAGGCACACAACGATGTGCTTGTGTTGTTGCACATGCAAGTGGATGCTGCGAGTGCTGGCTTCCACAGGAATTGCCGCAAAATTCCCATTTGCTCTCTTTAGATTTGCTATTGAAATACGCATTAGCATTGCGAAGGTGAACATTTAAGGAGGTTACTTTTAACAGCATAACAACGTCTCCCAGTCAGAGAGAAACTAGTGTCGAGCCTTTGAGTGTCCCAACACAGCCAAAGGCAGAAAGCTGAAAACCGCCAAACGAATGTTAAATGCAGACGTTCAGCCACAGATTAACTCTGACCCCAAAACTGCACACTTCTCATGGGCTTTTCCACACACACCCACACACACACACACAGACCGACGGCTCGTTTGAGGTGCGCGTTTAATTGGGCAAACCATCAACTCTTCCATTCCACAAAGGATGACCAGAATGCACGGTTGCGGTGGAGTCCTTTTATCCCCATGCGTGCGTTTATGCCCATCAAGTGGCTGTACCATTAACGACTTGAACAACACTTTGGCGTGCCCCCGAAAAGGTAATCCTCCTGCAGACACAGCTGCCAAAAGCCGCCGCAAGCCTCTCCCATCTCTGCCATGTTTTTGGTTTGATTTTAGCTGCGATCTAAGGATAGGCTAACAGGCATAAGAATAAGCATAAGCATCTTCTTTTATAGCTGTATTTCCTTTTTAGTTTAATGGGGAAATTGTGACTGCCCTTGCCGCACTATTAAAATGCAAGCAAACGCAGCAGAAGCAGCCATCAACGGACACACTGCGGTGCGAGAGTCTTCACTTTTGATAGTGTTTCCTCACATACGATACATACAAAATTAATTACTTTTGCGTTAAATGCACTCAACTTAATGAAGCAATTTTCATGAAGTATAAGTATACATAAGTATATGTATGTATAGTTTGTGGCAATGCCCACACTCCAATTTCGAAGCGTGGGGCAAAAATCAATTTTAAATTAGAGCAAAATGAGCTCATGTCGCCGTCGCCGTCAGCGTCACCACGTGGACATCAGGTGATGATTCCATGTATTGCCCCGCACTGCCACACATGACACACGACACAAAAAGGTCATTCCAGACAGCGGCTCCTCCCTGCCACGTCCTGCCCCAGCCCTCTCTCTTGAATGGGAGACTGTTATGGAATCGAGTTACCTGCCAAAAGAAGAACCTGTGTGCCCCCTGTCCCTTCCTTTTGTCGAGTGTAGGTGGTGGGGTAGGGCTGGCCCCATGGTTATAGTCCTTGCTTGTGATGTGATGCCGTGCGGTGTGGCACAATCGAGTAAACAACAATAAAGCGAAGACAAACAAAAGAGTAACAAAAAGCCAGAACTACGACTGCGACTACGACACGACTAGGCAAAGGTTGAAGTGGAGGTTGAGGTTGAGGTGGAGGTGGAGGTGGAGGCTCACTCAAACACAGAAGCACAGAAAAATACAGAAGGACATGATGATGAATGACGCGTTGCTAGACAATTTTTCAATTTGAATGGTGACTCCACCCGTCTCCCTACTGCCATTCAATTCCATTCGCAATAGACTGACTGCATAGGCCCAAAACGAACAGAAGCAGTCATACTTTTTCCTTTTTGGATTTCGATTGAGTTTTCGCATTTTCAGTTTGCTGTTTCCCATTTTCCTGTAGAGGAATTGGCATCGATAGATGGATGCAACCTGCAATTTGCCGCCTGACTACACCAGACGCATGCCCTCCCACTCCAGGAGTCGAAGAATGGTTGGTGGCCGGCAGAGATAGGGAGTGAGATTAAAGACCAAGGCTGCATGCCCCACCAATGGGATACGCATTTTAATTGCAATGCAATCGAATCGTTTGACAGCAGAGATGCCCCACAGTTTGAGCCCGGCTCGGGAATCAGACAGCAAATCGATGCGGTATTGCGGATCCTTGGAACCATTTTACAATTAAATTGATGAAAAGAGAACAAATACATGGTTAAGACTCACCGCTTGCCCTTAAAGGCCAACAGGTACTTCTTGTTGGCTGGAAAATTGTTGGACTGCACAGAGCCCGTGGCGCCAGCCCGCAGTGGGAATTGCTTGTGGAATAGCGGAATGCTGACATCGAAGCCATGTCGCACCTGGAGCACACTCATGCTGGCTTTGGCCAGAATGGCATGGCCTGCATCGAAGCCCAGCGAATTTTCCGCATAGTCCGGCCAGGTGCCCGAATACAGATTGAAGATTATGTGATTTCGGCCATTGTTCCAGTGCGGCAGGCGGGCCAGGCGCGACGGCACATTTCTCACATAATCCTCGGAGAGGGAGTCCCTGTCCAGGGTGTCCATGCCCAGCACAAAGAGGCAGGCGGCTGTCGGGTCGCTGGTGTGGTAGCGCGACTCCTGAATGGCAGTGAGTATCTTCTGGTAATTGGCCGATGTGGGCGGTGCAGCGCCCAGCGAATTCAACGGCTCCGGCGGGTATACGTACACGAGGAACTGTTCGTAGCAGCGTGTAAAATCGAAGCAGGTCTCCATCCTACAATCCGATCCTCGACTGCGACGCGAGTCGTTGTGTCCCAGTGCTCCGAACACTGCCGCAGATCCATTCCCGTGGCCGACGAGTGGCCCCAGTGGATCTGCATGGTCCAGGAAGCTGGGCAGCTGCTCGTACGGCGGTTGCACGCCCCCATCCTTGGCCGATTCGTGTTGGGCGCGGCGTGGACGCAGCGGCGACACTTTCAGCCGATAGCCACCAAAGTAGGCGTAGGCCAGGAAGGCGCAGCTCACAATCACGAGAATGTAACGCTTTTTGGCCTGCATTCTCTGTCTCTTTTGTTTGGTTTACTGCTAGTCCCGTTGTCGCTTTATTTTATTTACTATTTTTGCAAGGGGAATGTTCTGCGGTTTAACGGTTGTTTCTTGTGTGCACAGCGCGTGGGAGAGACAGGTAAAGAGAGCGAGTGCGGGGTGGGGGGGAGGTGTCTTGCGTGATTCAAGTGCAGCAACAACAACAATAACAACACTCTCTCTTAAGTCACACGCATTTTTTGTTGTTGCTCTTTTGCCTTGTTGTTTGTGAGGTTTTTCACTGGCTGGCTCCCGCCCCCAGCTGATAACACTTGCCTCTACAAGCAGATCTTGAACATCTCTCCGTACTGTGTTTGTTGCTGTTGCTTGTTGTTGTTGTTTCCAATTTAAAGGTTATTTTTTAATAAACTTTATGTGATTATTCATTTCCTGGCGTGGGCCAGAAGCCGCAGTGTGGGGCAGCAGGGCAGCGGTGGGGTGTCGCCGGCGGGCAGCAGCAGCGGGCATGGGCTGGGAATGGGAGGAGCATGGACGGGGGGAACGAGGGTGCGACGAGGGCGACGGCACTTCTCGCGGTCTCCCAGCGACAACATTTCCGCGACATTTACGCACACACATGAACACACGCGAACATCATTATTGCGTTTCTTTGCATTATTGCCGGGTTTCTATTTGTTTTATAAACAATATAAACAATTAATAACACACACACGACATTTTTTTTTTGGTATTTTATCGCTACAGCGAATTGGCAGCGTGACCGCGAAATTATCGATAAAATATACCGTCAGGGCCTCAAAAATATACCGAAATATACTTTTTCATTTTCAAAATATACCTTCTTAAATCATATTCCTCGATTTTGATGTTCTATTTGATATTACTAGCTTGCAAAGACTTTTAACACTGAACAAATAATTTAATCTGTTTGAAGAATCAATTTGGCTTATTGTAAATACTCTTTTTAATTGGGTTGTAAAGCTAATGACCTCATATTTAACATATTTGTATTTGAATTTTTTATTCAAATCACCCCTTCTGGCAGCAAGGGATCTTTGACTTCAGTGTGTAAATTATTAAAAGACACACCATGTATGTTAACTGAAAGCATTGATAAATATTTAAAAATAGCACGCGCAACAAAAGAGGAAATTAATTATATTGTTTCCCTGAAGAGGAACTCTTCGCAATAAAACTATAATTTTATTCTATTGATGAATCAATTCTGCACAAGATTGTCTGATTTTCCTGACTTCCTTCTATTTTGTTGTTTTCAAAATAATGTGCATTCTAAAATGGTAGATACAAAACAAATTAGCATACAACGTAAGAACATAACGTAAGGAAGAATGTAAAGTTACGTCATTTGACTACTTGTTGAATGTCAGCCGGTGGTGTCGACCTATGTATACCCAATTTCCAATTTCAATGGGGAAATTTTAAAAATGCAATGCCCTTGGTCACCCTGTTCGCGTTTTATCGTTGCTTCCCACACATTTACATGACTGTTAAGCGTTAACATTTGTTTAGAATTAACAGTTGTTATTCACTGTTGGCGTGAGTGTGAGAGCGGGAGTGGGACGTAGAGTTGCCACGCTTGTTGCTGTTGTGGACCGAACGCGCGTAAAACTTTGAATTACAGTTGTTTTTACATTTTATGGTTGTAATTTTTTTGTGTAATTTAATTGTAAATTACAACTATCAACCGGTGTAAGCGTTTGTCAGTGTGATTTCACTAGTTCTTAGTAGCTGCTGTTCGCTCGCTATTTGCTCGCGTTGCACTGTTGTCAATGCACAATAAATGCAGTCGATCCGCTGCCCGCGCGAATGTGGATGCGTTTTGATAGCTCGGCTGGTACTGACGGACTTCTCTTGGCCATCCAAAACTTCATTGGAAATAATGACCAACAAAAAAAAAGACACTTGGACTCTTTTGTGGGAAAGCCTTCGCATGCGCAGTGCGGCGCGCGCTCTATTGTGTCCACGCTCCAGGTGGCAACACCAGAGCCAACAGCTGTGCGCGCGCAATTCAAATTTGAATTTGGAAATGCATTTATCAAATGCATTTATGTAGTAGAAGGGCAAATTAGGGCATATTCGGCACAAAGTGCATATCCCCCAGAGCGTAATGGCGTAATATGTTCTCGAAATGCAATTACCACTATTATAATTGTGGCAAACACAGCACGCAACCTGCCACCTGCTGTGCGGCCTCATAATAATTGTTATTTGGCTTGAAATTAATTACGTTTTTGGGGTGGCAACGATTTGCGAATGTCACCGCTGGGAATTTTATTTATGCGGTTATTAATTATTGGCCAAAAACTCATTTGAATGTAAACAGCAGGTAAAAGGATGTCATGCGACACAGTCCGCCGCAGACTGGACGCAATATAAACGAAATTTTAATTATTATTAAAGTAAATGCATCTAAATTGTTATTTGTTTGCTGTATTCTATTTGTTATGCTTTTGTTGTTGTTGTTTCGTTTGGAAAACCGTCGCATCCGCATCCTTTTTTGGGGCGTCGTCCGGGGATGCGATGCTGCTGTGCGCGCAATTTCCGTGCCACAAACGCGTTTAGGCTGGAATTTCAATTATGCACAGGAATGGCTGGCTGGCTGCTCGCTGGCTGCCCTCTGCTAACACCCCCTTCCCCCTTCTGGCGGCCTTCTTCTTTTACTTCCTGTGTGCTTCCTGCGGCGTGGCCGCAATTATGATGCGTCTTTGCAGATAAAACTGCCCCCAAAAAAAAGTGAAATATGTATGTCAGGCAGCAGCTGCGACTCCCGCCCCGTGGCATTGGCAGACACCCACCCGAAGGCGTCGGACAGAATATGAAAATAATGCTAGAAATCAGAAATATTATTTGACATGAATGTAAGCAGAAATTTGCTTTGCAGTGTCAGAGAATAAAGCAATTCGACTGGAGAAGAAGGTTGCTTCAACCAAAAGTATTCCAGGACAAATATTCCTGCCATTGTCTGGGTTCAAACTAATTTTGAAATACAGAAAGGTGAGCAAAAATGCTTAGGGGAAATGCTTTATGCTTTTTTTTGTTTATTAAATAAATGCAAAAATATTTGCACGCATTCAGTGCATTTAATTAAGAGCAAACTTTTAGCGGACATCGGACGAATTCCATTTTGTCATTAGACAGACATCCAAACAGCATTCAGCTTGCTGCATCCTGTGGTCCTTTCCAGGCGAGAGCCAGACCCATGCAAAATGCATATACGGTCCACACGAGTCCACTCTGTCTCTGTCTGTGTCTGTGTCTGTGTCTGTGGCCCAGGACCACCGCTGGCTGGTCATGCAGTTCGTTTCCGTTTCCGGTGCGCCTCTAATTAAGTGCCAGCCAGACACGTTCCATGGCCATGCCAAGAGGCAGCCACCATCCAGCTGCTCTTGGGATTATTTCACAATTTCTTTGCTTTTATTTTATATGTATATAGAGCTCCGCCCACTCATTCAACGTTAATCAATCATGCACATGCCATGCCTCATACATAATTTTGGTTTCTTTTTATGCGAGTTTGGAGAGGAGAGGCATTCGTTCAGGCAGCTGCGACTTTCACTTCTCTGTTCTCTGGTTGTCTTCTTCGATGGCTCTATCAGTGGTTGCCTTACCACAGTCCACCATCTCTCACTCACTCTCCCTGTCGCTTTGCTCTCTTTATATCTGTCTTCCGTGTCTCTTATTGCTGTGATGCAAACTTTGATGGATTTTTGTGCTGTGTTGTGAGCAGTTTTTGCAGCAAAAGCTGCTCTCTGTGCCTGTCACCTGTCTCTTTCCTTGACCGAACTTTGGCCACTCGACAAACCCTTGCTTTATTACCTTACATCTAATTTAATAAACAAATTACTTTTCTCTGAAACTACTAATAGGAGCACATGGCAATCAACTCTCTCCCTCTCAGCATAAATGCATTAGCTCCAAGGGGGGAGTCGGCACCCGAGGCGGCCTGAGAGAGGGAGCTGTTGAATGTCTTCTGTTTGCTTTTGCTGCATTCTTTCAGCCACTCCGACGCGCTGCCGCCACACCGTAATTTCTCCTAAACTTACAATTTCCGTAAATCAAGTTCTGCCACTCTAAAGCACTTACTCTCCCGCACCTCGCACAAACTTATGACGTCAGCAACTGCTGTCACCTATGCGGTCGGCCTATGAAGTTTGAGCAGCAATGGAAGCCACGGAACTTTCTAACAAATTATTTTATGATTTTGCAGCTCCAAATTTCTTGAGCTTACAAGTTTCAGTGAGAAAAACATGCAGAATATATTATCAAGAATCTTCGGCGAAAGATAGATAGAAGCGGGGAAAGAAAAGAATTTATGAAAAGTTAATTGCCCAAATAAATAATAAATAAAATAAACATTAAATGTGTACAATAGAGGAACAAAAATAAGTAAATTGAGAGGCAAAATATAATATTTAAATATTCATTGCTACAATTTAGAGCACTACTCAAAAATTACTCACTGACTTTAGAGGTCAAGCAACAGGTGCAAATATAGCATTACTCACAAAATACAAATCTTTAGCGGATAAAGCAGAATCCTGCATGCCCAGGGGCTATATGAAGTACTCGCACTTGGCAGGGCAGTTGAGCAAAAACATATTGCACTCACTTTCTTTGGCCACATATTGTGTGACAATAAATGCTACCGCCACGACTGTCAAATCATGCATACACAGAAGGGGCAGGGGGAAAAGGAATATACCCATACCCGTGGGTGTCCTTGGGGCACACAACTTGGCTTTGCCTTTGGCAATATAAAGTGGCCATAATATGGTTCAGCTCGTGTCTCTTTACGACTCGAATGTGAACGATTATGGCTGTGTGGAGGTGTTAACCCATTCACTCCGCCCCTCCCAGACCCCGCAGAGCCATCTGCAATGTGGCAAACGAGCCAGTAAATGCAATATCGATATGTGCCAGTGACTGGCACGGCGAACAGATGCCATATCTTGTCAGATTTGCCTGTCTGAGGTGAACATGACAGGAGCAGAGACGGACACGGACACAGCCACAGCACAGCACAGCACAGCACAGTCACATCGACATCGACATCACCGATGCCTGCAGGACGTGCCAAGGATAACTCCACCCAAAACCCATTCCCCCTTGTACGCTTTAAACAGGATGAGGAGGATGATGATTATTATGCTGGTGCCGCCTCTGACAGGCGGAGAGCGAGTGGAGTGCGAGTTGTTGGTCAGTTTACAAATCCAATCAACGCTGCGTATACTTGATATGCAAACACTTTTCCACCCCGCCTAAACCGAACCGAACCGAACGAAGGAAAACTTTCGCCGTTACGCCATTCCCTTCCCTTCCCTTCCATTCCATTCCATTCCAGCCCTTGCTCCTCAGTGCACGATTTCGCTGGTGTGTTGCTTCTGCTAAATTACTTTGGCAAACATCAAACAGAAGCAAAAAGAAGAGCACACAAAAGCCAATAAAAGCAACAAGCCAGCTGACTCACGATGAAACAAAAAATATCCTCGTACTCCATATGTTTGCTACTGAGTCTACTGAAGGTATTCAATTTATTTAGCCAACAAATATTTAAAGCAGAAAACAATAGTTGCAGTTGGGGCTAAGCGAAAATGTACATAAATATGTACGCAGTTTCTTCTTTTCATTTTGTTGGCAAAAGATGCAACAATTGAAAGAGTCGCAGACTGTGGCTGTGGACTTTTATTTTCCTTTTCGCAATCCTTTGATGCGTTATGAATGTTGTTTACACGTGA